CCTGCGTCCCGCCCGAGGTAGCCCAACCTGAGGCGAAGATCCTGTTCGATCGCCCCCTGCGACGAAACAGCGATACTTTCAGGCTCCTCCAGAGACCTGCATACCGTCCGAGGCTTGCGACCCTCCGACGAAGACTTTGATTCCGACTGTGCCGGCTCCATCGAGAGACCCGCACCTCGGTACAAAGTACACACATAGGCTCCTACGAGACCTACAATTCAGACTCCATTGAGATCTGCAAATCCGAGGCAATCTTCCTCGTCAAACTTCTAGGCGGTCACTCGTCGAGGCAACCTTCCTCGTCAAACCCCTACGAGGCATTTACTTTGTGACCTACGGGCACAAAGCAATAGTACGCACGTTATTGTGGCGGCGTACTTCCAAATTTAGTAAAGAAGTTATCCTTACTTCTAGGGCTCCCTCGAGAGACCCACATTTAATAGTAGAGTCAGTGCTTACTACAAGACGTCTACAAGACTTTCGGAGCAAAAGAGCTTGCTCCGACATTGTCGTACGGGGAAGATGAACCCCTGCGACGCGACTACGAAATCCAGTGCTACGAGGATTGGTGCCCTCGAAGGTAATACTACGAATAATAAATTAGATCGTGTGAGTATGATCAAGACTGAGCTGGACGAGACCTCGTCCCAAATCGGAGAGACCAGCGGTCACACGAACTGCCCTCACACCTGTTTGCCGGCGAAAGATCTCTCGACATTCGGGGTGAAAGAGGAAATGGCCTCTCCTGCCAACGCTATATCGATGCTCCGCGAAGAGTCTGAGGGACCGAAGATGGTGGCTCGCGGAAGTACGCGGCACGGCGCAGCCACAGCGCCGTACGCGTTGAGGTCCGCTGCTACGCGAGTTACTGGCACCATCTCGACCACCCCTCACGACGCACTCGCGGATCCGAGTAGCAACCAAGAGTTACCACGAAGTGGGTCACCCACAGATACTCGGGACGAGGTTCAACCTACGTACCAACTGGTAGGGTCCGGGGAATCCCATGAGTCCAACCACGGTTCACGGTCTGGCCCCGGTAGTGGAATACTTCCGATGTCGGGTGATTCGGAACGTGAGCTAGCCGTCGGTGACGACGCTACAGTTCATTCAGCTTTTTTACGAAATGGTATCCAACGGGAGCAATGCGCATCGCGTTCGGGTGCCATGTTAAGCGAAAACCCCATAGCCGACTATGTCGTAGGTGACGTAGCCGGGTCTTTTTATCAAAGCAATTCTGGTACATCGCCCGTCCACTCTCAGGATTTTCCCCGAACATACGATCACCGCCTAAGTGGTCCTTATTTAGAAAGTCTAACCCGACACGGCGCTCAACGTGGGGCTCGACATTCTTCGTCGAGATCTCCCCCGCGAGCTCGTGTCCTAGACACCACGTCTGTAGGCCATATTCACCACAGACAACAGTCGTTTGAGAATATCCTGCGACCTGGAGTCCCTAGTGATAATCCATTAGAACTCCGTGCGTCTCTATCGCGGCCCCAGGTCAAAGGAACTGACATCCCAGATTATAGATCGCGACATGGTTTCCAACGTGGAGCTCGATTAGAACTCCCGATGTCTCCACCAAGGACCCATGTCGACCAAACACAACTTTCAGATCATATTCCACGACATGGCGCTCGACGTGGGGCTCGAAGTCCTGCTTCGACGTCTTCGCGGCGAGCTCATGTTGCTGATTCTCTCAATATTTCTCAAATATTAGACACAAACGATCATCTTACACGACATAAGTATTTAAATATATTAATAGTGAAGTGATTATGTGGCAGTGAAGTGAAAGTGTGACAGTGATAATATTCGTGAGATAATTATTATAAAATATGTAAGTACCTACTTAAATAAATATATTAATAGTAAACATTACAATATTTTGCGGCGGCGTAAGCCGGGTGGTGGTGGGTTATCGATACCCAAGAGGGCATCGTTTTATAGAAAACACTTTAAAAACAAAATGTTACTAAAATATTTTTGAAGTTTTCTCGATAAAACCTCTAAAAATAATGGATGTTATGTTTTATATTTTATTTTTTCCATATTTTCTACATCTTGTTGCCCTTTACGTATACACTCCTATGGATTTTCGATCCCCGCACGCCTCATACTCCTTACTAGTCCAAGAGCTAGCGATGAATCACTCTCTATAATTTCGACCGAGGAGTATAGGTGCTTACGAAAATAGTCAATTTAAAAGAGTACTCTGACCAGAGTAAGCAGCGCTCGGATTAGTTGGTCAGATATATTTTTCGTAAACCCCTATTATGTGTAGTTACACTCCCAGCATATTATATAAAATATACAAATGTATGTTCATTTTTACATATGTATAATAAATACAATTTTTTAGTTGACAAATTTTGGAAGATAGTTTCAATAAAAGTTTTTTAATCATTTGAAAAATAGTAGTATAAACGATAAAAATATTTGTAGAGATTTGAAAAAACATAATGTAGTAAAAACATTAACCATTCAGTTTTAAATAAATATACTGTAAGTATATAGTTATGTATTTTTAAATATCCAATGTTGTCACAGAAAAATACAATTTTCTTTCACAATCAATCATTACAAATAAAACGCATTCTTTTTTTATTATATTTAATGTTACCAATAATACATACATCTGAATAGATACTGCATTAGGTACCTACTGTGCTGGCATTTATGTACTAATAACATTAATTTTAAATACAAAACCTTATTTTCTGCTATCACATGTCAACTGGATTAAAACATTTTTTATATCTTCCATTTAAATTCATAACATTGAAATTTTAACCCATTACCATTTATGATGGATTTACAATACATTATATTTGGGGGATTTCTTATTTCTCACAACACTCAAGAATCCACAGAATTATTATATACAAAAAAAATATTTTTCTGTTTAACTTCACAATTAATGTTTTACTTATTCAGCAAGACCCCCTGAATGTCCAATATCCAGCATTGTTTAAAGAACAGCATCTAAAAGAAACATTTTTCTGTAATTGTATTACATTTGTTTATTTGTATACATACCTTTCAGCTTTGATTCCATCAGCTTTTACTAATATAATAATTACACATCAACTATAAATTTCCATATTATTTTATAAATCAAACACTCCAAAATAGGTCAATTTTGCTGCCAAATATAAATTAAAATTACTGACAACAGTGACAACTGAGAGCCACAAAATATAAATACAAGAAGTTAGTCACATCTTTTATATGATATAAAAGATTTGAGGTTAGCCGGGTAGACTGTAATGCTTACATCGAATCGTGACAAACCAACCATAGATATAGTACTATATTAGATCTGCTAAGCAAACATATAGTAGAACAACCTAGCGCCCTCATTGCTGTCTGGCACGAACTAAAATCGAATAGGCCTCATTCTTTACGTTTAAGTTATAGGTTTACATTTTTCTAACTGGAATGACGATATGGAAGAAAATATAACTTTTCAAATAGGTTTTTCTACACAGGATGACGTGGTTTCTAAGAAAATTGCGTTGAAGCTCGAACAGTCGAAAGTATTCTGCATATTTCACAAATTTATTGGTTGCAATATTTTTATGAAAGATCTTCTATTGTACAACTGTAGAAGCATTTTACAAATTTATATACTGAGTGTTTCATCAGGCGGACAAGGACTCTCATTTCACTACATACTTAATTTGCTACATTATTTATTGAAATCTCTTGATGAAAATTTATATAGTTACTAACCAGACGCTTTCTTTGAAAATCCATATACTAGATGTTTACATAAAATGGCCCAGGTCAGAATTATCGGTCCAGAGGCTTCTGTATATTTCAGAAACTGCCATATTTTTATGAAAAATCTTATATTGTAGAACTCGGCAGCATTTTGCAAATTTATATACTGAGTGTTTCATATAAAAATGAAACAGGCGGACTAGGATTTTTTTCTCATTTCACTACCCACTTTCCTACATTATTTATTGAAATCTCTTGATGAAAATTTATAGAGTTACTAACCAGACGCTTTCTTTGAAAATCCATATACTGGATGTTCTACAGAAATTGTAAATTGCTTCTGTATATTTCAGAAATTTATTGATGGCAATATTTTTATGACAAATCATATCTTATTAACCAGATGTTTTGTACTGGATGTTTCATAAAGCTGACACAGGTGGACTAGGTTTTTTTTTTTTTTTTTTTTTTTTTCTTTCTCTACTGAAACGTTTTGAAGAAAACTGACCATTCGCTTTTTGAAAAATCAGTATACTGATAATTGAGGCAGGTCTGATTAACAGACAAAATTTTCCTTTCTCTTTTAACTTTATTTTTACTTACTGAAGGTTTTTAATGAAAAATTGTATATTTACTAACCAGATACCTTTTTGGAAGTTTATACTGGATGTTCCAAAAAATGATCCACTTCAAAATTATGAGAAAGTGAAACTTAACTTATTTTTTTCCCATTTTTGCCTTACCTACGTACTGAAATCTTTGAATGAAAAATTGTCTATTTACTGTATGTTCTACAAGACACTTCAGAATTAGGAGAGTGAAACTTAACTTATTTTTCCCTATTTCTGACTTACTTACGTACTGATGTCTTTGGATAAAAAATTTTGCATTTACCAACACGATGCTTTTTTGATAATTTTTATACCGAATATTCCAACAAAATTGATCCAGGTTAGAGTTGCAAGTGTTCAAACGTATTCATATTTTTTTATTTCATTCTACTTTATTTTTTGAGGTAACAATTTTATAATGTGTTTTTTTGAAGCTTTTCAATATAGTGCATATTCTATAAAATTGATCCTGGACAGACCCGTGGATTATTCCTTATATTTATTTCTTCTACTTTATTTAGTGAAGCCTATTCATGAAAATTTCTTTATTTACTAACCAGATGCCATTTTAAAACTTGCTACACAGAATGTTTCACAAAATCGACCCACATTTGAATGGTGATAATAATGTAGATGGTGATGATGTAGATCATGTAAATAATGGTAATGGATGGTGGTGTAGATGATGGTGACGTAGATGATGGTGGCGTAGATGATGGCAATGTAGATTATGGTGACGTAGCTGATGGTGGCGTAGATGATGGCAATGTAAACGATGGCGATGTAGATGATGGTGGTGTAGATAATAGTGATGTACATGATGGTGATATAAATGTTGCTGTTGTAGATGATGATAACGTAGATAATGGCGATGTAAATGATGGTCATGTAGATGACGATCATGTAGATTATGGTGATGTGGATGGTGGCAATGTAGATGATGGTGATGTATATGATGGTGATGAAGATGATGCCGATGTAGGTGATGGTGATGTAGATGATGGCGATGTAGATGATATAGATGGTGGCGATGTAGATAATGGCGATGTAGATGATGGTGATGCAGATTATGGTGGATAAATGATGGTGGTGTAGATGTAGACGATGGCTATATAGATGTAGATGATGGTGCTGTAGATGATGATGATGTAGATGATTTTGCTATAAATTATGGTGATGTAGATGATGACGCTGTAGATGATGGCGATGTAGATTATGGTGATGTAGATGATGGTAATGTAGATCATGGCGATATAGATGACAGTGATGTAGATGTAGATGATGGTGATGTAGATGATGGCGATATAGATATAGATGATGGTGATGTAGATGATGGTGCTGTAAATGATGGTGATGTAGATGATGACCCTGTAGATGATGACGCTGTAGATGATGGTGGTGTAGATAATGGCGATGTAGATTATGGTGATGTAGATGATGGTGATGTAGATCATGGCGATATAGATGACAGTGATCTAGATGATGGTGATGTAGATGTAGATGATGGTGATGTAGAAGGAACATATTTGACGTAGTTCGTAATTTAGGTTAGGAAATCAGACGGTACGTACTACGCGATTTTTGACGTTTCTAATTGAGGTCAGAAAATCAGAAAGAACGTATTAATTGATATTTGACGTGTTTCGTATTTTAGGTTAAGATATCACACAGGAGTGACAAGACGATATTTGACGTTTCTAATTGAGGTTAAAGAATCAGTGGGGACCTATTAATTAATATTTGACGTATTTCATAGATGACATCGAGGTGAAAAAATCAGATGGACCTACTAGGCGAAAATGACGTTTCCAATTGATGTTAGAAAATTAAGCGGGACTTACTAGACGACATTTGATGTATTTATTTGAACCAAAAAATTTTTGTTTACTGATCAGAGGCCTATTTCAAACTTTTTATATAGAACGTTTCGCGAAATCGCAGAAACGCAGATTCGAAGTGCGGCAGCTTAAACAATGAACGACGACACTACGCGCTGTCTCTCAAGTCAGAATGGAAAACTAGCATTTTGGCGGACGGACTGGGTTTCTCCGCGATATCCGAAGCGACATAATCGCGCCTCATCTCCCTTCGTTCGTGGCTTAATTAAATTTTTGCAACTTCATATTTGCGTTTTCAAATATACCTTTTTCCGTGGACTTCCCACTGACATACGGCCATTTTATAACCGAAATGAAGATTCAAAGAACCGCGAACGCAAATCGACGAAAATCTAAAAATCACGAAGAATGTCAGATTGAAACGTCAAAATAAATTTCGCTATATTTGACGTTTCCAATTGAGGTTAAAAAATCACAACGAACCGTAGATCGATGGAAGGAAAATAATAATTATTTGACGTATTCCGTAAGTAATTTAGGTTAGGAAATCAGACGGGACCATAGAACTAATAAACTACTGGATTCGCCCAACTGTCATTTTGCCAATATAAACGACAGACGTGTGCGAGAGAGATAGAGCTGGTGCGGGCTAATGCTTCGTTCACAAAACTTCAAGTATCGCGCGAATTAAACTGGATTTCTCTTTTAACAATACATATTTGTACGACTAATTTTAATTATTTATTATTAACGAATAAGAGCATAAGCACTCTTTGTTTATATAGAATTCCTGTACAAATTGGAGGTATTAAAGGGGGAATGTAATAATAACTAAAAATTTAGAATGAAAGATATTTTATTATACATATTTAAAAAATATTCAGTTACAATTTTCCAAATAGTTTTTTATAATGCCTTCTTTATGTATGTCTCCATTTATTTTCCTCACATCGAGCGATCAGTAAAAATTACTGCAAGCTCTTCTAACGTAGTTTCAAAGAGTTCATATTTCCTTTGTAAAACTGCATTAATTGGAACTGTATCGATGCTTTCTTCGTTCAACATATTATTCAAAGCGAATTTTTGCCTAAGCACATTATAAGCAAAATGCAGTTGAAGCTGTTTTTATTCAGTTTGATAAAAAATAATTCGGAGAGTGACACATTGAAGGGGGCAAAATTGCTACTTGGTCATTATTTTCAGAAATATTCGAAAAGTATAAACATTTTAACACCATCATAACCTCTTTCCTACCTATAAAAATTAATTTTTTCTCCACTTAAACATCTCTTTACGCAATTAATCGCTGAACACAATTGCACTACACACTAAAATTTAAGAAATCTTTTTCATGACTTTTACTCCAAGGTTTATTGTGATTTTGTTGTACCGGTATACCGATGTACCGTTATTTGTTTTGCCAACATTTGCCTGCACTAGCTTCATCTGCCTTGCACACATCAGTGCAATTGACCTCTCTTGCTAGGGCGAGTCCTTAGTTTATGGACGGAACTTACTACATGATATTTCACGTTTCTAATCGAGGTTAAAAAAATCATAAGGTACTTACTTATTGATATATGACGTATTTCATATTTTAGGTTAGGAAGTCACACAGGACTGTCAAGACGATTTTGACGTTTTTAATTGAGGTTAGGAAATAAGAAGGGACCTTCTAATTAATATTTGACGTATTTCATAAATGAAATCGAATTGAAAAATCTGATGAGACCGCGCCATTATTCCATGGCTAGAAATTGGCCTCAATGATTTGGGATCGAGGGGAATTATCCCTCTTTATCCTGCCTCATCTCGTGTAGGCCTGGACAGCCTTCGTAGGTCCATCCGTCGTCTACCCCGACCGCAATTGCGGCCGGTGTAGGCGCTTTGTGGGACCTCCTTTTGTCCTGGCTGGGCCCCGCCGGCTAGGGCCCTTTCTTCTGGCGCTCTTCTTGCTTCGCCGGCTCGTCTATGTAAACCCCGGGGGTGGTGTCATGTTTATGGTTGGGTACGGTAGTGCGGCTATGAAGCCTGGGATGCGCTTTGCTAAGGTGGCCCTTAGGCTAGCGCGGGAAAGGAGTGTAAGGAGGGTATGGGGGGTGTGTATGTGTGTGTGTGTGTGTCGTTGACTTCGTTTCTTGATCCTGGCGGTCTCTGAAACAGAAAAGGTTAACGGACAGGGGGATGTCGTTTGACCATGGCACCTACTAGGCGATATATGACGTTTCTAATTGATGTTAGAAAATCAGACGGGACTTATTAAACACTATTTGTTTGACATATATATTTAAATCAAATGCAGAAAAAATTTTTGTTTATTTATCAGAGGCCTATTTCAAACATTTTATATAGAACGTTTCGCGAAATTAACGCGAATTCGAATTTATCTTCCAAATTTTTTATGTACAAAGTATTCTATAAAATTGACAGAGGTCTGGATCAGATTTTTCCTTACATTTTTTACATTTTTTCGTTTTACTTACATATTGAATCTTTTGGACATGTTTTATGCTTACTAATCTCATCTAGATGAGATTTTGAATATTTCAATACTGGACGTTCCAACAAAATTTACCCATAGGGGCTCCTCTGCCAAAAACGGACATTTTTTTAAGTTGTTATCAAACACTTATATACAGGGTGTTTAAAAACCAAAGTACAGGGTGTTTTAAAGAATTTTATATTTACTAACCGGTAGTGAGAGCACCGCGGAGCGTTGCTAAAGCCCCGCGCAGCGCGGCCCGAGGGCTAAAGGCCCGAGAGAAAGGTTTTGTAGGTAAATTTCCGTTTCTCAACGGCTTCTCCGCCAAAACGGCCATTCTTTTAAAGTGTTATCAAACATTTATATACAGGGTGTTTAAAAACTAAACTACAAGGTGTTTAAAAAAATTATATTTACTAACCGGTAATGAGAGCACCGCGGAGCGGTGCACGAGCTGCGCGCAGCGCGGCCCGAGGGCCGAAGGCCCGCGAGAAAGGTCAAACTCCGCGAAGCGAAGCGGAGTTTGCCTGCCTTTCTAGTATATATACAGGGTGTTTTTGAATGGAGTAGCATAAATGATACCAGTGAATCTACATTTCAAAAGAACACGATCTGCAAAAAATCGCCTTAGTAAAATGTTCACCCCTGAAGAGATATGGGCCATCAGTTTCCAAAAAAATTATGAAAATTGGCTGTAATTTGAAAACCGAACGAGGTACAAATAACAAATTTTTTACAGGTTGTTTACTAATACAGATGCGAGTTTTCAACTATTTTTCGAAAATTTTAACCCCTCGAAAGGGGTTGAAATAACCACCCCTCAAGCTATTTTTTGCCATAACTTTTATATTTCGTAAAAACTCGATATCCAAAAACACGCATTAGATAAACTGGTTATTTTAGAAACCTTTATCTCACTAGCAATTTTCCTTTAAAAGTTTTCGTTTATTAATAAAAAAATAAAATGTATTATTAATGTGGTACATTTTTTCCATCCTGTTCTTGAAATGGATGTTCTACAGACAATCAAATCATTAAAAACTCTACTCGTATTTATAACTTAACAGCCAGATTCCTAAAGAAACTAGTAATATAAAGTATATAGTATAAAGCCTTCTACTGTACTTATTAATTGCATTTTAACTATTGGAACCTTTCCTGAGATCCTTCAGTTCTCCAAACTACTTTTCATATTAAAAAAGAGTAATTCTTGTTGATAAATTCCATCCATAACTATTGCTTCAGTCCTGAACAGTTATAGAATTAAAAAGGAAGTTATACGGTTATTTTGGATCACATTTTTTTTTTAAGTTATCTACTCAACAAAGTTTTAGAAATTCCCATTTTAAAACTGTTTATTACGTAATGAGCAAGATAGTTGAGAAGTTTAAACCAAGTAATCGCACATTTATTTTGCTCTGTGACATATATCTCTTTGACTGTGTCTCTCACTATGGGATTAGAGATAATTCACTTTCTCTCATTAATTTATGTTTTAATAATCGTCAGCAGACTATAATTGTAATTGTTATGTCTGACTTTTAACCTGCCACATATGGGGTTTCACAGGTTTGTGACTTAGGGCCCTGTTATTCGTTGGATACGTCAATTATTTTCATTTTAAATTGCTGCATAAGACATACGTTTGCGGATGATACAACGTTTATATTAGCGAGAAATAATTGCGAACTCCTTTCTAAAATTGTTAACACAGCAAATAAATTTAGAGACAAATGAAAATATGCAAATTTCTGTTAATAATTGCTTCAAACTAAAAATGTTAAAGTACATGGTATTACTTTTAGTAACATGCTAACCAATGTTAATGAAATAAAGATTTCTTGTTCTTAATTTATTCTTCGCTAATTAAAGCAAACTCACCAGTTCTACTACTTTGAAACCCAAGTATTTTTCTTTTTCAATTTCAAGGAGATTACGCAGTATTACCTTGGGGTACTTCTCTTTAATATAAAAAAACGATTGGGGTGTTACTATCATTACTATAAATACATTCTATTTTTTTATTAATAAATGAAAAGTTTTAAAGGAAAATTGCTAGAGAGGTAAAAGTTTCTAAAAGAACCAGTTTATCTAATGCCTATTTTTGGATATCGAGTTTTGACGAAATATAAAAGTTATGGCAAAAAATGTCTTAATAGGTGGTTATTTTAACACCTTTCGAGGGGTTAAAATTTTCGAAAAATAGTTGAAAACT